GTCATACTCTGTGAGATGAAGTGTCACTCTTTTCACAGCTTTTGCCGGCTCGGAGACACTTGCATGTTATTTCTCCGGCTCTTTTTCTAGCAGAAACTCACTCATCACTAAATGAAAACTTAAAGTGAAGACCTGATTATTTCAGCCTTATCACAAGTCCATTGTTTTTGAATGTTGGTGCTACTTCTGCTATATTTTCACACTTAAAACAATAATGTGGTATTCCTCTTGTACCATTCTCCTCTTTTATGCTAAGAAATAAGTCACCTGGCAGTTCTCTCTCAAGTGGTTCCACTGCTGCCAGCATTAAGTCGGAGTATGATTCAGTGGGCTATATGACACTTTTAATTGTCAGGAAATTAATTGTCTTTAAAAGTTTTGGTTCAATATACTTACCTGTTGATCAGAAATATAATATATATATATATTTATATGTATCCCCCACTCCAGCCGGTCCGTGAGAATATTTTCAAAAAATAACCGTATACAGTACAGTAGATGCGGTGTGTCAAATTTACATTTGACAAGTGCATGTCTCTTCTACTGGTGTTTGTGCAACAGAATCAACAATCACGCGCTCATATTACTTCTAATGTGATACGCATAATAATAATAATAATAACAACAATAATAATAATAATAATAATAAAAACAACGCTTCTAATGTGATCATCATTTGTAGAATAATGCCTCTGTGAAAAAACTGTCCTGTTAGAGAAATAATTTTAAACTTAAGTTTTAAGTTTATTTCACAGTTTACATCATATAAATATTTGCATGATATTATATAGGCTAAAACATATAACTTGTGTTTGTTTGTTTGCTGGTTTTCATTGCATTTGTATTTTTTAACTGTCTTTGTCATGAAAATAGCCTTTGATGCTGACATGGCATTAAATAAATATCACTACTACTATAGGCTAAAACAAAGATCGCTGGATATCAAAAGTAATTTATAGGCATAATTGTCAACATTTCCACCATATTGGTTAGTTTCTTTACTGACGAAATATAGGCTAAAGATCTGTGTTTTAAAAGCCATGTAAAGAAGAGCATAGACACAGTAGCTCATTTTTATATCACTACATAGTTACATGAAGAATAAGATCTGAACTTACTACAAAATGTGCAACAGCCCTAAGGTTTCTTGAAATGACGTCTCTTCTTTCTCCTCTTTTACTTTCTTTTCTCAAGGTTAAGGTGGGTTTTGTTGTTCTTCTTCTTCTTCTGTTTTTGGCGTGTTGCATTCTGTGTATATCGCCACCTACTTTTGCTTTTATGCAGTCATGGTTTATTTATAATCAGTTTCTTCCTTGCTTTTGCTCTTTCTGTTCTTTCACACATGTTCACATATCTATACATATATTCCTACTCATAATTATTTGATGCTCCATCCCATTCCATCTCTTCAAGTTCCACCTGGCGCTGCGTGTTCAGCTCCTCCAGTAATCCCGTGGTCCCTGGATCCAGAATAGACTAGACCATCCTTATTCTATATTTAAATGCTTTCACTTAACCCAGTAGTACAGTCATGGCCAAAAATATTGGCAACCTTGGTAAATATGATCAAAGAAGGCTGTGAAAATTAATCTGCATTGTTAATCCTTTTGATCTTTTATTTTTAAAAATCACAAAAATCTAACCTTTCATTGGATAATAAGAATTTAAAATGGGGGGGAAATATCATTATGACATAAATGTTTTTCTCAAATACACGTTGGACACACTTATTGGCACCCCTAGAAATTCTGTGAAGTATATTCCCATTCATATTCACAATTTTGAGCACTCCAGGGTGATTATGAACATGAAAGTATCCAGCCATGGCTTCCTGTTTCACAGAAATATAAATAGGAGGGAAAACAAAGCCCAAATTCCCTTAAAGGGGTGCTATTATGCTTTTTCACTTTTTCGACTTTAGTTAGTCTGTGATGTTGCTGTTTGAGCATAAAAAAGATCTGCAAAGTTACAAAGCTCAAAGTCCAATTCAAAAGGAGATATTTTATTTAACAGAAATCACTTTTCAAAAACTACAACAAACGACTCGTTTGGACTACAACGCATATTTTCCGGGATTTGTGATATCACAAATACCGACGAATGGGACGAGACCTGGTTGAGCTGCACTAGAGAAGGCAACGAGTGTTATATCACTATGTCGGAGACACGCTAGCTTTCCCAAGGCAGACGAACTTAGAGTGATTACAATCATCCGGGTTTAAATCGTGCTCAAATTGATTTGATATTGACGCAATATTTACACTGAAGCTTGCAGGCGGCTATGGTAAGGGGCGTGACATTTCCCGACCAGGCGCAGAGTGGAGCCAATCACAGCACACACTGGCCCAGCT